GAAAATTCCTTACAAAAGGCCCAGCCAGCCAAAAGAACCCCTTCTTGCTGTGAGGCATCATTGCAAAAGTTCTTTCTACTTTCTTATTTTTATAGTTTTATATTATTATTTTTTTCATAGAATTAACTAGCCCTGTACCTGCGCCCTTCATAGACTTTGTGCATTTCATTACCAAAGCAGTAAATGATCTTAAATTATATTAAAATTACTGGTATCTCTTGATCTTAATTAGTGGCAGACAGAACAGAAACACCCTACATGGTGAATACTTGATGTTTATCATAGTGCTAAAATCCTCAGTCTCCAAAAACAAGATCTGAACATTTCTGTGGAGCACGGCTATGATTGGGTGGTCTGCCTGCAGCAGACCTTGTCTCTCTTATCTTTCTTTGAATGTGTAACTCTACTCTCCTGTATTTCCCTCATTCGGACCTCAGCCAATCAGACATCGGCAGCGAGAAAGAGAACCCCCTCTCCCGGAGACCGTCACCATGCCAACCCCCTGCTCAGTTCACCTGCAAGGATTCGGGCTATGAACCTGCCACTTGCACCTCCACCACTACAGCTGCAAACTCCTACCAGACCGAAATCCACCACCAAGCAGCAGACAGAGATCTGGGTGCGGACTTATCGCTAGCCAGTCAGAGAGAGGAAGGGGAGGGCTGGGACCGCGAGCAGGCAAAACGACTGGAGGAGAGGAACAAGTGGTTTGAGGAGGGGCTCCCCGTCAATGAGATGGGCAGCAGGTGGGAGTCCATGGAGCTGAAAAAGGGGAGTGTACCTGTGCCTGTTATTGAAACTATGGACTCTGAAGTTAACAGGAAGTGGGTAGAATTTGAGACAATGTCATTTCAGGACATGAGCTCACAGTCTCTCATAGGCACCCAGGCTTATCAGTCAAGCACCGCACAGGCATCTGCATCTCTACTTACTCCCCAGAGAGATCACTCACCACCTCAAGAGGTCAACCAGTCTGTCACCGGGTCACAAACTGATACATCAAACATGAAGGAGGCTCCTCCATCCATAAATGGCGCCCAGATCACAATGAATACAGCTGAAGCACTGCAAAAAGAGGTAGGAGAGAACTTTCAATTTAAAAAAAAGCGATGCACAGAGTCAGGGCAAGAAAATTATACTATTATCCAACAGGGATCGGGATTTCAGTCTTTTTTTTCCCCTCCTCCCTCTCTACCCCTACACATTTTCTATAAAACAATCTTCCAGGCTGTTTTTCTTCGAAAGCAGGTGGAGAGCATTAAGAGGGAGCGTGCGGCCATGGGTATAGAGGTGGAGAGTCCCTGTGGCACTGGGGCACCTTGTAGGGCCAGACTGGAGGCCATGGAAGTAGCACACAGGAAAGCACTGCAGGAGCTGCAGGAGAAGCATGCCAAGGAGATAAAAAAGCTAGAAGAGGAAAAAGACAGGATGCTACAGGAGGAGAGCCAAGCAGCTGCTAAAGGTGAGTCACGGAGTATCAACAGCAACAGCAGCTTCAGCTAAACATGAGGATTTGCTTTTTGCTCTCTGCAGGGTGCAGTATTTATTTTAACTAAAATAAATAATTATGAATCTTAGCCCTTGGTCCCTTACATGCATGTTACACAGTCATATCATTTATCAAGATTGAATTCCTTCAGTCCTAAACCTCACAATAGTAGAGTAGATACTAGACTCCAATTTACTTTGAAAGTTAATCTTTTGAAAATAAAGATCTTGCTTTAGGTATGAGGGACCATTAATTTATGACCGTAAGGCAGTATGCAACTATCCATCCACTCTCTTAGCCAGTTAATCCAGTGAGGGTGTTTTCTACGAATTCCCTCTTACGGCTCAGACTAAATCCTGGAAAAGATTAAAGTTGTGCACAAATCATTTCAGCCATTATTAGACCTACCGAGGATGACAGTGTGAAACGACTGCACTGAAATGACTCTTCTTTATTCGTCATCTAAGTGAAGAAATTGATTAATTCATTCTTTCATCTAAACTTTAACTTTTTAGGGACCTGCACTAAAACGGATTTCATGCCAAAAAAAGCATTTATTGATTTGCAATTCAGTAAAATTAACATTTCTTGACTGATACATGAGAGTCAAGAAATCATCAGCTCACACATATGAGAAACCTATTAATACCAAGTGTGTACACAAAAAAGGAACTGGACTTGGAGTCATAGTGCAACAAAACAGTGGTGCAAAAATAGAATATATGGTATTACTGTATACAGTACTACCTACTGATGCTGCTGTCACCTGCCAGCCTATTTTTGGTGTTCTTGTTTTAAGGTTGTTTACCAAATGCATTAACTAGCTAACTTACTGTTCATCAAAAGCTATGGAGGCACTGAGAGCAGCTCACAGAGAGGAGCTGGAGAGACAAGTGGAGAAGGCCAGGAAGTCGTTCGCAGGAGCGGCACATGTGGATTCATCGTGCCGAGGGCAGGCGTAAGTGTACCATAGCCCTCCTCGCTGCAGGCTGAAGATGTTCTACACTTGACCACACGCCTGTTGTGATGCATTATAATTAAGACCTCACAAAAACCTCACAACTCGTGTGTTTGTGCATGCCAGGCTCCAGGCGGATGTCTTGCACTCTGAGTTAGATGTGCTGTCAGAGCGTTACTCTCAGAAGTGCCTGGAGCTGGACCGCGCTGAACACAGCAGTAAGAGCCGAGAGACAGAGCTCGGACGCAAGGAGAAGGAGCTGGAGCAGCTCAGAAGAGAGAACCAGGTTTCTGCACAGCCTTTGTTTGCAAATGAATTTGAATACAGAACAACATGATGTGTTAGAAAGTGAAACGATGACCTTCACATCCTCTTTATTTTATTCTTATACGTTTACATATTGAGGAAACATAATAAAGAAGCACATACATTGTAATACTTCTTATTTCTGAGCTACACATCTCTGTTACAGGATCTCAAGGCCAAACTGGCAGAAGAGATCAGCCGTATGCGGTATTTCATCACAGGTCAGAGGTCAGATGTGGTATCCCTTTGCAACACTGAGTGCGCTGCATCAGAATTAGAGGTATTGATTAGAGTTTCTTATATGAAAAGAGATAAGCTGAAAAATATATTTGCCCACGCTCAAACCAACTTTATTTATAGCTGTGTGGAAATATTAAAGGACAAATGTTGACGTCACTGTCATCACTGGGAACCTCACAACAGCATCTGATCTATGTCTGTGGGATTTTGAACCCACTCCATAAAAACAAATGGATCAAAGTGTTTTCTTTTGCCTTGTATCCTGATTTAATGACCCCCTGTGGCGACTGTCACCTGTTTCTTGGCCTCATTTTTGTTGAGCATTCAGCTGCAGTACATATCGCCACCTACAGGCTGAAATAAAGTACATCATCATCCTGCGCATCTCTGGTGAATCAATCGACTGGTGAATCTAAGCACATCTAGGATGCATTTGAATCATTTCTTTTCCTCACGTTCCTGCCTGTCAAATGTTTTCCATTTTTATTACACTGTAAAGTGATAATTAAAATTCTGATGGAGATTCTTTATTATTCTCTACAAAATAATAAAGAACTCTTGATACATGGCAGGATGGATCCATGTTTTCATGTTGTTCACACCAAATTCTGACCCTTCCAACCAAATGTTGCAGAAACTCATCAGACCAGGCAACGTTTTTCAAATCTTCTTTTGCCTAGTTTTAGTGAGCCCAGGCTACAATTCACACAGTGTGGTCATCTGCTGCTGTAGCCCTTCTGCTTCAAGTTTCAATATATTGTGCTTTGAGACATACCTACATACCTTGGTTGTAATGAGTGGTTATTTCAGGTGACTTTGATTCCTATGATAATAAAGCAATCTAGCATCAACAAGGTATTTTTTCCCAGAGAAATGGCACTCACTCACTGTCTGTAAATCCTACTTTCAGCTGCTTCCTTATTTACAATGAGTCACCATAGCAGGCAGCTCTGCATTTTTGATCTGGTGGGTTTTTTCGCTCTTCTCCTCTTCTGGGAGGCAGTGGGGAGGTAGAGCATACAGCCCGATCTGGCGGGAAGGTGTGGGAAGCCAGATCGGGTGGCCCCCATCCAGCTCTCCTCTCTGCTATCTTATCCCTCTTGTTTTACTTCTATCACCTTTTCTATCCCTTTGAAAAAGTGAGGCTCCATAAATGTTAAAGAGGTAAGTATTATGTTTTAGTTGCATTGAATAGATAGAAGAAAATAAACTGTAGAAAACTAAAGAGAAGAAAGAAGAGAAATAACAATGTAACATAAACATAAACCAGTGGCCTCCTTGGATGAGGATGTCTAGTGATAATGGCCGAAACACCTGATGAATCCAAGGTCCACTACTGACAACGTGTCCCAAACTGGTAACGTTTCTGGGCTGCCTTTTCTCGTAACACCCATCCCTCAAGATTTTCTCCATTTAAAGCAATGCATTATCAAGGATTGTAACATCTAGTCCTTTTACTGAATAAGAGGTTGTGTTTAATGTCTTACAGACTCTACTCAGAGCAAAAGAAAATGAAGTTCAGTATCTTAAAAAAGAAATCAGTTGTCTACAGAATGAAGTGCAATCTCTTACAAAGGTATGTTTTACAGTCTAATCTCTTTTATCACACAGAAATAATACACATTAAAAATTTAGAACAATTAAATGGCCTAACTATGCTTACCATGTCTGTCCTTATTCCAGGAGAAAGAAGTCGCTTATGAGCGTTTTAAGGAGGCATATGTAGAGCTAAGTGACACAAGGGGGCGTGGCCAGCTGGAGATGGGCTCACTCAATGAACACCTGAGACTGGCCAACGCTGCCCTTCAGGAGGGAGCAAGACAGACCTGACCTACGTGACCTACGAGGACACGCCTTAAAAAATGTACTTTGACAAAGAAAACCAGCCAATATTTAAAAAAAAAAGAAGAAAAAAAAAAAAAAGCAATATATGTTATCATGACCTGATAAGCCTAAAATGAGCCAGAATTAAAAATTATGGGTGTTAAGATTAAATAACAACAAGTGTTTTCCACATAAGAGACTCTTTATTTATTAGTCACACACAAACATGCAAACAGGAGCGAGGCCAAAACTAGTAGTTGTGATAGCCTCGCATGATATGACATTTCTGATAAATTCTTGAAGGCAAAACAAGTTAAATATTAGAGAATAGGGAAAGGAAGAGGGTGGAGACAGAGGGGTTTATTTGGAAGACAAAGTGCCCCATCTTCCCCATCTTCCTTGTGCCGACTGGTATGCTTTCAGTCAATATTGCAAAGCACCCTGTGGATGTAAATGAAAAAAAACAGAACACAGTTGTCATCACTGGAAAAATGTCACAGATTACTTCCTTTGACATGCAGCTGACACACCCTTTACACAGTAGAAGACCGTGACTAAAGGTCCCAGCCTCAATGCTTAAAGATTGCATAAGGTGTGGCTAATAAGCACTTGAACTTCACCATTTACTTTTCCAGACTTAGGTCAATCGTCGTCATCGTCGTCTTCAGGGACAAAGATGTCGTGCTCCTCCAGGAGGGCGGCAAAGTTCTTGCTGATCAGATTTCCCACATAAAGGAAAGGCACCACCACTAATGTCATGCGGATGAGACCAAATGGTGTTTTTTCCGGCTTCGGTAGAATTGCTCCAGACGGCGTAGACACTGCGGTCCTGCTTTGAGTCGTCCTGGGTATATTTGAGGTCTTCAAGCCGGTATTACGGGTCATTATCCCCATATTTCTGGAGGAAAGTCGCAGCGGGAGCCGCAACATACTCGCCGCCATTTTTCCTGTACTTGTGACGGTAATGGGACGTTTCTAAGGGTTGGACCACATATGGGTGGGACTGGGATGCCTTGTATGGGCGTAGCTTGCGGTTTGACAGGTAAATGATGAGTAATTCCATCCTAATGTATTGTTATTATAGTTGAATGGTCTGCTACACATAGATACATGTGGCCGTAAAATACACATAGCTGAAGTTAAGTCACTAAGGGCCTTTTAAACTTTATTTAAAATTTACGGAACTATTTACTATGTTCATATTTAACACAGTAAACCTTTGTACAAGCAACCAATCACAGTTATCAGCTTATTATAATATCAGGATTGAAACTGAAGAGAAATAACGTAAAATACTAGCCGATGGTTATAATTCTTTGCATCTTAAACTGGGGTAAAATCAGGACTTGCAGCCAGTTTATGTGTTTATGTTTATCACCTCTGTTTGGACAGAAACAACTTTTTAGACTCAATGAGACAAATGAGTTTAAAAAGTATGAGAAAAAACAAATTAAATGATCTCCTTGTTTATCTTAAGGTCTCAAGATTTTTTTTTTCTTTTATATTGACATACGTCACTCGTGACAGTTTGGTTAGAAACATGCACATTTGTGTAACCCTCTGGAGGTCACTGCTCCTCATGTTCCTCCTCAAACAAAGAAGAAAGTACTAGTCATTGCTGACGATGTCTGCTGTCCTAACTCTCCTTGTGTACTTGCCTGCCCCTTGAAATCTCTAAGTCATAACATCACGGAGAGCTGGAGTGAAATTTGCAGATTTCGATGTGCCATCCTCTTGGAGGAGCTGTTCTACCTGTACAATCAGAATGAGCACCAAAGCAGGTCAAATGGAGAGTGATCTTTGACCACCAAAGTCTAATCCCCTCCTCACTGTATCAAAGGGGGAAAAAATCCTAAATGCTTTCAAGCCATGTCCTTTTTATGAGACTGAGGCAGACAGGTGGAGAAACGAAAAAACGTATGGAAAAAAGGAATGCACTGCCACAACTCTTTACAAGCTGATGCAGTAGGTAACACTCATGAGGAAACTATGGTTCAGCAGTGGTAGTGCATTGGCAGTATATGGGCAGCTAAGGACTGCCCATCTACCTGCAGAGTGCATCTGTTGTCAGGTGGGGGCAGTCTCAAATATCTGGTACAAGGAGTTGTT